TCATTATCCTTGCATTTCCCTTTGTTGTTATGGCAATTATGAGAGGTGTTGTAAATTATTCATCGTAATTATGCTCAACTTTGTTGCTATGAACCTTGGCATTGATTGAATAAATTTACTGTAGATTGTTATTGAGTTTTGGGGATGATTAATATCCTATTTTAGTATATTGGAAATGTTGGAGATATGATTGTATGTTGAGGAAGTACGGATGAGCATTATTATGTTTATGACAATTAGTCAAAGTGCAGTTATAGCTTAAATGGCCGATAACGTTGGTTCATAGAGTAAGTTGCTATTTTTCACCTTTTATGAAGTCGGAGGTTCGATTCCCATCAAATCTGAGTCTTCTGAATAAATTTACAAACCTAATACTTCAGCTTAGCCTTTACAATCACACTAGCTCCCCCCAACTCCATAAAAACCAAATCCAGCAGTCAATTAGATTCACATTGTTAATTCCAAAATAATTTTGTTAATTTCATTAAAATCATTCAATTTTACGACCAGACAATCCTCGAAGGATCTAAATGTCATAAAAATTAAGGATGTAGTACATAATAAAAATTTTTTCAAATGAGAATTGAGATTTGTTTCATTATCATTTTTTTACATGTCTGTAAAATCAGTTAAAGCCATATAAGTTTGTTGACTCTTTTTTTTCTGTCGAAATGTGAGAAAAACACTAGCACATTCATTGTAGCTAACGATAATTAGTAGTGCAAGCAAGAACAAATGAATAATTATGTTGTTTTCATGAAGTAACACAAGCGTGATAACAAGCTAGACAAGAAAATATCGCTCATAATTTAATGGAAAATATATTTTTTTTGTTTGTCGTGTGCACAACAAGCTTTACTGCTAATGGAAGTTGATGATCTTTAATTAGTGAAATAGTAACGCAAGAGATATTCTTCATTTTGCTGCAATTAAAAATTCTACAAATGAATGATAATATTTGACTTTCTGTGCTGTATGCTTTAGAAATGAATCAATGAATTGAGAGAATGCTGACTTTGTCCATGTCATGTGTGCAATTTTCAATGAGGAAACAGAATTTTCCAATTAAAATGTGCATTTTTGCAACTTCTAAAGGCGATTATAAGTTACAATGTAACAGACTTTGACATGTTCATTCAAGTTATTTTGATGCTGACATGCTATTTACTAGCAGCTTAGTAATTTTTGCTATCGGGGTTTGTTCAGCAGTGACAGGATATCACTAAGAAATGCATGGAGGGTCTGGATAGTTTCATCTTGAGATGTAACCTGCATGTGGGTTAATTTGACACTGGCATCCGTGATATTGAGGATATTATTGGAACTTCTTTGTAGAAATCTTAGCAAAATGATCTGATTTCTCCTGCAAATATTTGGCATATCCTTAAATCATTCAAGGCTACTTTCCGTGGGATTTTCAAATGTGTTGAACAGTTTCATTTACAATAAGTCACTGAACCCAAACTTTCACATTGACATCACTGACCAATGACCCTCACAAACTTCATTCGACACGATAAAAGCATTGTAAAAAATTGTTTCCCGATTTTTTAATTAAAAACTTACAGCGTCATTTTGTGCTGTAATAGAAAACAAGCTAGTTTTGCTCCCTCATCTTGCAGTTATTTTTTTTATCGCCACAGAAGCTGAATGGAATAAATCCATTCTAACATTTTACGTTCGTTCACCTACATTGAAGCATTTCCTTAAATCATTCTCGTGTTTACCATTTTCCATTGTACTGTTCTTATGCTCTAAATTTGTTTTTCTTCTGGCTCATTCATCCTAATGAAATTATAAGAAGAATATTTGTGTTCCTTCCTTCATTATAATTGTAAGGGAAACCGCGAGTTTCTTTTTTTTGTGTGCTATTATCCACCACCTTTAGAGAGCATAGAAATGTGTGTTGAAGATTAAAAAATTAGGGGAGAGGAAAACGAGAAGAATAAACAGTTCAAAAGTTAAAAAGCGCCATTGAGAGCCATTTTTTATGCTACTGTAAATTCTCTAGATGGATGTTATATATTTCTTTAGTTCTGAACAAACACAAGATTATTTGCGGATAAACAAGATAAACGGTGAATGGACTTATTAAGTTAAAAAGAAACTTATAGTCGTGAAGATGTTTTGTTGCTATGCTGAATGAATATTTTGATTTAAAATTTCCATGATTTTGTCGTTAAAATTTAAGGCTAGATTTGTGAGTTGTTGGAATTTGCTGAGAGAAACTCTGGTATTATGTCATTCCATTTTTGGTGGTTTTATTAAGAAATGAACACTCCATAAAGGAATCGAACTCATGTTCTCACGAAAACCGACTCTTCTTTCGCTGTTCAACTTAGAAACCTTGTTTTGTTGACTATCCCCACTCTTACCCCAACCCTACTCTGGTTCATCAGCTCAATCTAAAAAGTAATAGTAGTATTAATAGCCTCATTCTTAAAATCATAAAATTCAATCTTTTCGAAAAATTCCCCATCCATTATCATTAAAATTTCAAGTCAACCTCCAAAAAAAAAATTCCCTCCATTCCAAACCGTTTGTCACTCAACATCACCATCCAGCTCATTTAATTTTTCAAAATGCTAATTATTCCATTATTATTTCAAAACCGCATTTGATGAGGAGTTGACATTAGTTAATGACTAAATTAAAGTATATCTCACCACTTTTATTGCTCATTATAAAAATTTTTGAGTGTTTAAAAATTGAAAATTATTCATTTTTCCCATGAGAAATTACAGAAAATTAATTTCCAAGTGCCTCTTCTGTTACAGCTGAATTAATTTTATTCTTCATTCCTTATTTTTTTGTTGAGAATAAATTGAAGCTTGTTTACATACGAAATCATCAAATAATCATTTTTTTATTATTGATTAATCATGAAAAAAATTGAATGAATAAGTAAAATTATTCTAACTCGTGTCATAATTGATTAATGATGTAAAAAAATATGGAAGTAGGAAAAATATGCGAAGTTCACCCTTTTTTTGAAATTATTATGTAAGATTTTTTTTCTCATTCGCAAATAAATGAAAGGGTACGTTTGTAAATGAGGGTAACTATAACGCTTAAGCAAGTTGTATATATTGAGATAGATCTAGGGATATCTTTCATTTTGAGTATAAGGCGGCTATGGCCGAGCGATAATGCAATATACCAGATATCTGAAAATTTTCAATATGAGGACATGGGTTCAAGTCCTCCAAGACATTACAAACATTTAAGGGTTGTATTGAGAGTTGAATATTGAGGAACGTAAACCAAGGTTGACTGCAGGTTCTGCTATCTAGCATCATGTTTGATGTCCAGAGTTGTGACTTTTGGAAAATTGACTTCCAAGGTTTCATTTAAGATTCCGAATAAGATGGACCCTAGTATGACCCAAATATCATTCAAAACCCAATTTTTCAGCTTCTCACATAATTTATGAACACTCCTCAATTAAATAAAATAAAGAAAAATTGAGACAAGAAAGAAAAACATCAGCACTGCAGTTGAGCAGAAAAAAATTTGAGAATAAAAAAGTAGCGGAAGAAGAAAAGGAACAGCAGCGCAAAAATATATATACTATATGTTAATGCTAATTCAGAGTGAATAATTTAAGAGAAAAATCTTTATACTAAATTATTTAAAGAACGTGTTGAAGGCATGAGTAATGGCAACTGAGAGTATGAGATTCAGCATACGCTTGTTGACTTCCACGATTTATGTTGAAATGTTTTTCATTTCTTAAAATATAAAAAAAAAACTTCAAAAAGTCATTTTTAGCAAATGCGACTAATGTAAATGTCTTATGGAAACAAGAATATGTCTTTCTCACTCAACATTCAAAGTTTCTCGGGGAAAAAATTGTCCTTGATTGGATGTGTATGTTAACACATTCACATAAAAAAAAAGTCTTCATGTTCTCACAAGACATTGTACAATAATACATGAATATGTTCGCTCGATAATGAGCACAACACAAAAAAAAGTATGTGTAGCAATTTATAATAAGCCTAACAAGAGAGAAAACATGAGCGGAGTCGATAATGGAATGGAAAATATGGAAGGTTGGGTATTTTGAAAAGGGTGCTGTACAGGCAGTTATGTGTTCTTTTTGTAATAAAAAAATCTTCGCAACTCACATAAAATATTTAAGAAAATAGGAATTAGCAAGGAACATCCCGCCTACAACATTATGTAATAATTTCTCTATGATTTTGTGCTTTGTAGAATTTTTTTTTCGTCTGTGATAAGTTTTTGATTTTGGATTAGGAAGGGGGTTTATGGTGATTTTTTTTTGAAGTTTGACTAGGTTTGGTGATTTAGGTGGATACATTTAAAGCTATTGAATATTTTACTGAATTATCGACAATATTTCATTGTCTTTTAAGTGTTTGTTGACCATATTTGTTGTTGTTATCCATAAAATGGCATCTTCATAGCATTAAAATTGCTATGAGTGCACATATTCATCAAATTAATAGAGTTTTTTTTATCAAAAATTCAAAACTAGATCCAATTCAATCCAAAATCTTGCTAGTTCTTACTCCATGAATCCTAATAACCTCCAAACTTTAAATTAAATCTTCAACAAAATTAAAATTTTAACATTCCTCTTGAAAAACGCAATAAGCTTCTCAGAAATTCAATCTAAACATTTTCTCAGAATACCAAATTAAATTATTCTAAATTCAGAATATTACGAAAATTCCAGTCAATGTGGGACGAAATGTCAGCAAGAAGAATCTCAACCACAAAATTAGAATTCCATGTCAAATTAATTCACAAATTGGAAGGAAACTTCAAGAACATTTTCTGCAGCAATAAGCTTACAGCTATCAAGAAAGATTTCATTGAAAATTGGTCACCTGTACTTAAGTGAGATTATCTCGTTCTCTAAGAGAAATGATAAATGAACAAGATGATCAGGGTTCAAAAAAGAGTGTTTGGCAGCACTTTTCTAATGAAAATAAGTTGTCAGTGCATTAAACTGTTCATAAAAAATTGTAATAATGGTCATTAGGAGTTACAGGTAATGTGAAAAGCATTGATCATTTTCACAAGCTGTGGGTGAAGATTTATGGGTTTTAAATTGATTTATCTATGATTCAGCTATTGCTGTGAAGTTTTTTTGTTGTTTGACAAAGGGGATTGTCTGGTTTAGAAAGAATCTGAATTAGAATTATCAAAGATGTTAAGGATGTGTTTTTGTCTGTTAAACCATAGAACCTAGATTTATTCAGTTTCACTAAGTAAAGCTTATAATTTCTATAGAGAACCTTATTAATTTGTTTTTGATGCTAGACTTAATATTTTTGTATTACTTAAGCATGACCAGATGTTTGCTTTATTAAAAATAGTTTCAGCACAAGTCTATGATCCACATCTGGTCTATTCATGTTGATTATCAACACTGCATTAAAGTATCTTCAAGACTTACCTCTTGAAACTTCCAATTGACTATAAAAAAATTGTGTTCATTGTTGACATGCAATTTTCATTTATCAACCATATACAATCAAGGCTCTACATCTACACTTCACATCAGCAACATTGTATTCACTAATATTTTAAATGACAAATAATTAAGAGTAAAAAAAATATATTTTCTTCCTCAATGTGTTATATGACAATACAGATATTCACTGAATGGGAGAGAAGAATAGAACTTTTTGCTGTTAAATAATTAAAAAAAAAGGAGACGAAGACGAGCACTGGAAGAAAATAGAAGCGTACTTCAATTCAAACAACAATAGAAAAAAAAGGAAATAGAATTTTTTTTCTATAAAAAAGTATATTTTGCTACTAAATAAACAGTACAGAATATAGAAGAAGGAACAGAAAGGGAGCTAACAGTGTTATTTGTTGTTATGTAACTTTACTATATATTTTATGAAATTTAAAGAAAAGAAATAGAAAGAAAATAACCAAGGAAAGGAAATGAATGGAAAGAGAATTTTATTTATCACAAAAGAAATCACAGAATCAACTGGAAAGAGCTTAAATTGAAGTATAGCAAGTGAAGAATAAAATTAATCAAAATTTTCGATGCAGAATGAGACGTGATTAAATTTAATTTACTCGATAACATCAACAATCAATTAAAGATCATCGAAAAAAGGGGGAACTAAGGATCGACATAAAAGTGAATTCATATTAGTAGACATTAAGGCGCCCCATAACACACACTTCTATACGCGCGTTAAAAAAAAGCAAACTTTTCTTGGCACAATTCATCACCGAGACACGACTCACACAGTGAGGATATAAAACAAACATAAAAAGAAAATATTTTAGCCGTGGGTTGCACACAAACAGCACATACATAAATATAATATAGAGGAGCAAAGAATAACAATTCAAATTAAAGCAAAAACATTCGTTCGCGACAATCATCGCCACTTCCATCGTCAAGATTACTAAAATGTTCTGGTAGCCAAGATAGTTTTTTCACCGTGGATCCATATTGTAACAGCGGAGGAATAAATAGTGGTGGACAATGGCCAATTCCCAATTGTGGTGGTTCGATGTGTCATCATGGACCAGGCTCATGTCCTCAACACTCAATGGGCCCAATGCCCCAATCACACATGCCAATGTTAGCACATGGACCATCAATGACATCGCTGCATGGTCCATTGCCACCACCTCCTTTATGTAATCCATGCAGTCAACAACCGAATAATTTCAACTCAGTGCCATTACCAGGGCCATCGAGATGGGGCCCGAGAACTTCGTGTCCTGTACATAGTCCCTTTAGAGCTAGAATACCGAATGGAACGATTTGTTCTGGACATCAGGTAAAGCATAATTTAATTTTATATTTTATTTTCAATTGAATTCACTCGAATGAATCGAGTTGGATGAAAAAAAAATCTGTTAACTTAAAATGTTCAAATGTCAATGCTACTGAGTATTTCTGCATCAGTTGCAATTTCATTCCTTTCTTCTACAACTCAACATCATCAATGAATTTTCCAATTTTCGCTTCAATGAATTGTCTGATAAACAGCAGTGACTTTTCTTTTGTGGTTTGTACAATGCAATCTATAAGAAGAAAATTTTATTAAATTTGTTAAAAAGGGGGTCGATTGCAAATGATGAAAATTTGAAAGTTTGAGTTTTGCATGCAGCTATGCTAGATGTAGCATTTACATCTAAAATAAGACAAAATTACAAACGTCTTGCATCGATTATCCCTGTTACTGATCCACTGAACATAATCTTCTGTCTTAAAAATAAGACATAATTTGTAAACAACCCCAAACAACATTTCACAGCCAAGTGCCAAATGCTTAACGTGAACAAGACTTTTTTGACATAGAAAAACTTATTTGTGAGTTTGTAGGGACGTAAATATGCGATAAAATAAAGAATTCTTCTATGAGACATAAAGATATATAAAAAGTAGTAACGTGAAAAACGTTTGTTATTGCGATGATATTTTTCTGCGTAAGAGCAAGTTGTGAGGCATAAAACAAGTAGTTAAAAAGAGCAAGATTTATCGCACAAGACCCACAACTTTTTTTTTAAAAAAAAAAGTTTTCATACGCGAGGGTATAATTTTTTCTTTCTTTAGAAGTTGAGGAACTTTGAGGAAATTTGTTTGCCTTCTTATTTTTTGATAATTTTTTATCTACTCCTACGTGAAATGTTTTTTTTTTTTTGGGTACAGGAATTGAAGTTTTGTTAAGTATACTTATGTGTGCGTGTAGGCGTGTTGACTGCAGATGTTTATTTAAAATGGAAATTGAGATTTTTTTAATGTGAATTTAAAGCTATTTAAAGCATAAGATTTTATTTTTGAATACGTCTGAAGACAAGGAAAGCAACTAATTCACATAATTGCACATCTACAATTTCATAAGAATCACAAATAAAATTTAAATCAACAAATTTCAAAATCATCTTTATTAGCTTAAAAATCAGTAAAATTCCAATCAATAACTTTAAATTCAAAAGTCAATACCTGAAAATAAACTCGATTATTGAAACTCAATCCACAAATATTGAAATTTAATAAAATTACACATTTTATTTGCATTCCAAAAGTTTAAACTTTTTTAACCATATTTAAAAATATATTTTTCCAATCATGCAACTTCACATGCCAAAAAAAGGGTTTCGACTTTAAAAAACAAAACTTTTTTTTTCTCCCCGCATCCAACTGGATGTAAGAGTGGAAAAGTTTATCAGCTTATCAAGCTTATCATCAATATGTGTGTAAATGAATGAGAGCTTATATCAATTTTTCATGCTGAGATGAATCAAGAGGAGAAACTTTCTCCATAAAATATTCTTTTATTTTTATTTTATTCATTTTGAAAAAATTTCAAATAAATTTTATAAGCCATAGCTACAATATGTATGTAATGAAAAACTTTAATCCTTTTTTAATGCCTTTTTCTTTCTTATTTTTCGGGATGGTGTATATAAAGGAACAGATAGAGAGAAAATTAATTTCTATATAAGCTTTTTTCATGCACAGAACTAATTCATATATTGTAAAATCTAGCGTTCAATTCACTTAAGCACATGTACATAAATTGCATGAGAAAGTTCTTATACTCACCTGTCTAAGCTATTGAGACACACATACACATTGTCAATATTTAGTTTCAATTTTTTTTTTAACATTACAATCTGCTACCTGTAAATGCATTAGACTAAATTCTATGCTGTTTCGAAGGAAATGTAAATTTATTGCAAGTTCAGAACTGCTCTGTGCAAAAAGAGAGAAATTGGATAAAAAAAAATTAAGATCTAGACAGAAGTTTTTGTTCCTCTTGCTGATTACTAAGCTTTCAGGAAAAGATTAATTAAGATTAGACAAGCATTGGTGTTTATAGTGGATTATGTGGATAGGGATTGTTGAATTATGGATTGATTTTAAGTTTAACTTTCATTTGGGGATTAGAATTGGTAATTTTGAAATTAAAGATTCTAGAGATAAAGAGCAGTTCTCAATTGAATGCTTTGAATTAGGAATTAAGATTTGATGAATTTGTGAAATTAACACTTCAGTTTCCAAAACATAAAAAATCAAAGAACTTTAGAAAATCCTTGAATTCAATTTCCCAGACATTTTTTCTCATAAATTCGTTGCTTTTTGATGAATTGTTCATTCTTCAGAACCAGCCGTTTCCAGCTCTACTCATAACATAATTTTTTAATATCTATGTACAAACTTTGCACATTTAAATACTCTTAACTTCATTTATAATCAAATTTCAAGCCACATGTGCATAAACGAGCTTCGTTAAAGTATTCCTCAAAAATTCTCAATTGCCACTTTTTTCACAGTATTTTCTTCAAACTGAGCATAAGTCACACGATGCTTGTTTTCTTTCATGATAAACTTCATAATACTAATAAAAATAAAATCTTTTTCATTTCCTACAACTGTTCACATGCTCCGGTAAACAATTTCAAACATTCATTTGAAAAGCTTCCTCGTATTCTCAATTTTGAGATCTGCTCATTGCATCCGATTATGCATGTATGTGTACAATCTATGTGTGAAGGAGGAACAAAAAATTGTATTTTTTTATATGAATTACGAAGCGCTTTTTTCAAGCATGAAATTCAAAAAGCTACTATTGAAAATCTACTTAAATACTTTTTTGCAATGTTTCATCTGGAAATATTTACGTAGCGAATGTAAAGAATAAAATTATAGTTTTTGTAAGATGAAATAACTATTTGTAAAGTGCTTTCGTTACATGCATGTAAAACATTGCAGTTTCCACTTTAGTTTTTTTTTCTTCTCAATTTTATATCATTTGCTATTTTCTTTTTCTTTCTTTTAACTCTAACAATGGAAACTTTTCATTTTTATTTTCTTTACTATATCTTCAACATGCAATATGTAATGTACGGAATAATCTTATGAAAAAGTTTTACTTTACTTAAAAAAATGAAATTTGTTCTTTTCTTCAATTTTTATCAAAATACTTCTTCGGAAGGGGAGTTGTATTCGGCAGTTCCAGATGGTTTCAGATTAATCTTGAATATTTGAACACAAAATTAATGTCTTTGAAAGAGGGACTCAAGGAAGGGTCTAATACTATATTTTTTTCATCACCATTGAGGCTTTTGAGTTTCATGCTCGTATCCCTACTAGGAGAGAGCTACAGCACTTAGTTATGAATTCAATCCTGTAGCCAAAATCACCGTGATCTTAACTTAAAGCTAGTCCAATAAAAAACTCAAGCTAAAACCAGTTAAAATGTTTCAAAATTAGAACTAATTTAAAGACAATCAAGCAATAGGGCGAGTATCCTTAGCTTTGACAGTCCTTCTCAAAGGAAACCTCAAATATCCATCTACATCATTTTCACACATCCCCTTTACTGTCTACATCTGAATATCTCACTCCCAACTCAGAATGATACAGAAAGAATGGAAGTAATGAGGTAAAAAAGATAAGAGATGAGAGGTAATGATGATATGTGAGTTGATTTATAGTGCATAATGAGTTTATTGACTTAGTTTGGAAGTATTTTGTAGTTTTCTTACTGGTATTTTGATGAATGTGAATGGAGATGATGTATGTGCTTTTGTAGACAAATTGTCTCTCAGATGAGTTGCTTGAGGAGTGTTCTTGAGGGTATTTCGGATGGATTGAGTCTGGAACAGATTCTGTATGATTTAGAAGTAGTAGATAAATCTGAAATTGTTGCAAAATGATGCAAATTGTGTTTATACCTTTTATATGCTTATGCAGAACTAATTGTTGGAGCATTGTTCGTTTGGTAATGCTTGAACAGAGTTTGACTAGTAAGTTCAAAGTTTTGATGAGCTTTAAGAGAATGTTTGAAATTCTGATAACACGAATGAAATGGGAGTCTTAAATCGACATATTAAGCAACAGACCCTCTTAATCTACTTAAAGATTAAAATAAATAGACAATTCCTGTCGATGGTAAAAACATTGACTTCTGTAAGATGACTAATCTCTTTATGTCAACTCTAATTGAGTCCTTTTTAAAACACAAAAACTACTGAGCATCAAGTCAGATCTAGGAAAATATTGAAAAGCATCCAGAAAAATCCTTCCATAAGCTTCATATTTTCCCTACCAAAAAATATAACAAATTTTCTCGTAATCACTTAATGCATTGTAATGAAATTTTCAACCCTTTTCATTTATTTTTATTCCTTCTCTTCAACTTGACGTACTTTTCATTTCTATTTCTTTCCTCATGCCATAAAGAAATGACGAAATTTATTTTTCTATTTTCTTCTTTTTTCGTCTCCATCCATAAGTTCCTTTTTAATAAAATGTCATTTTGTTGAAAAATCACGAGCGAAATGAATAAATCTTCTGTGTTGTATTGTATAAATGTATGTGCTGGATGTATAAAAAGTCGTACCCAGAAGATTCTCTTTTTGCATAGAATGAAAATATCCGTATTTTGTTTGTCTTCTCTTCTTCCTATTTTTGCTTGACATAACACGGAAAAAAATGATGGTACATCATGATGTATGTGTATGTGTGTATGTCAGGGCTTCAAGAACTTTTTTTCAACACTACAGTTATGAGCATAAAGTTTCATATGATCTATATTACCACTTGGAAGCCTCAGTGAATGCCTAAACTTAAGAATATCACTAAATAAGTTAACTTCAAGCTTTTTTTGCACAAATTATTTAAAATCTAATTTCGTTTGCAAGCATTAATAAAGTTTGAGTACCGCTGTCGCATAAATTCATAAAAGAAGCTTGATGCTCAACTTCGTTGACAATTTTAGCTTCATATAAAAATTGAAAAATGTTGCAATAGAAATAAAAATGAAGGTTGCGAGAAAGGAAGTTGAAAGAAATAGAAGAAATCATATTAAAATATATTCAGCAACAATAAAAAAATACATATAAATATTCAAAACTAGATGCTTCAACATTAAATTTTTATATCTCGCAAAAAAGAACTTTTGAATGACAGAAAAATTTAATTTTTGTTTCCAACTGTCCCGAAATATTTTGTCATATTTCATGTAATCTGAATATTTTTTGTCTGCAAGCTTCATTTATTTTTCATAAAAAGTGTCACAAAATTTTTTAATCTAAAAGATCAAAGAATTGCATGCGATGTAGCAAAAAGCTGATACTGATGGAGTTTTTTGTCAAATGGTCTTTAAATTGTTTTAGTTTTAATTACTTTCATGCTATTTGTTGTTAAAATTAGTTTTTAAACTTTTCACATTAAATTCATGAGTCAGCTTCTGTGTAAATGAAAACTATGAAGCTTTAGAAGTCAGTTGGTATTTTCATTTCAATATTTGAGTTCAAATTTGGTTGTTGAGTGAGAGTTTTGTGCATTTGAGGGTTTTTTTATTCAGAGGTTTGAATGGTTAAGGTTTATTGAGTGTACAAGTATGGGCTTTGGCCTGTCTTATAGCTTATGCATTTAAGAATTTTTAAATGAACTCAAAAAATCAGAGAAGTTCAATTCCAATTCATTATGAGACTTAAATTGTCTGAATGATCAGCAAAGGAGTCAAATTTTCTAGGAGGCTCAAAAGCTCAGCCACGAAATTTAAATGCAAGATTCTCATCCACACCTCATTCACATCCCACAATTCCACATCAATTCCTTTAATGTAACAATCGAATTTCCTCATAAATACCAGTCAAACATCAAAAACCTAGTAAATAATGTACCGTGAAGCGCAAAAGTCATGTCATACTGATTTTTAATGATTCAAAAGCACACGATGTGAACTAGAAACCTTGATGAAAAGATGCTTGATGTGCGGAACGGAAAAATGAGAAGAATTTTTTTTTATATTTTCTTCCACTTCCATTTTCTTTTTCAAATCCCAGAAAAAAAAAGGAAAAGAAAGTTTGAAAAATGAAAATATATAAAATAAAGTAAGTGAGTGATTTTGAAAATGGGTAATGGAAGAGTGCTTCCATAGCTGTTTATCTACATTTTCATTCACTGGTGTGATAAAAAGCAATCAACTAAAGACATTCTACTCAGTTTAATTAATGAATATCATCTATGGTGTTTTGAAACATGAGAGAAGTTTCTTTGGCAACCGGATACACTTACTTTTTAGATTAAAATATTTTATTAAATAGTATGAATATGAATGGGAGATACTTGATACTAAGGATTTTGAGACATTGAATTTGTTAGGTGTTTTTGTGGGTTGGGTTGAGGGAATGTTATTTTATAATAATTGTGAAGCTTTAAAATTAATTGAGTAAGTATAAAGAGTTCTTTGTATTAAAAGTATGAGTTTGGAGTACGTATGGGAATTGAACTTGGTCTTATCCGTTAGTTTACTGCTCTCATTTGTTTTTGTTGACTAATCACATGCTGTAGAAATAAAATGATGAGTTATATAGGGAAATGAAGGTGATATGAAAGCTAAAAAGGTTCAAAAATAAAGAATTATTAATTTTTTCTTTCATAACGATTGCAAATCCAAAATCACACAACTCCATAATCTCCAAATTCACAGCTCCAAATCCAATAATCTCAAATTAAATTTTCTATAACGTAAAAATTGAAAATTTTCAACAAAAAGTCATCAAAAACTTTCTCAACAATTTTCTATGAATTTATCAACTCTTAAACAATTCGTTGAACACGTTAATAGGAATCTATAGACACATAAGATCGTTGCTCTTGAAGTTTTGAGTGCCACTTTACATCTACGCATGTAATGAAAATTTATATGATGGCACTTGAATTTTATGAACTTTTTATATTCAAACTTAATCAAAAAAAAATCTTTTATTTTCTGTTTTATTAAATAATGATTTTTATAACTCATGAAAAGTCATTTAAATCCCTTGATGCCATACAAAACGCATATTTTGAGGATTATGCTGTGCTTAAAAACTTATTTCTTTATTATTATTATTATTGAATTATTATGTATTTGCATACATCCAGTGAATCTAGTAAATCATTTTATTATTGTATGTGTTATTTGGCTTTTAGCTTTTGGCATAAACAAACATGGTTTAAAATAAACTTTAAATTGAAAATTGTTTTTATGGCTTTTCATATGTCATAAGCACATATTTTAGATTGGATATAAAAAAATCGTTTGACATAATCGATTACTGAAATATGCGAAATGTTGGATATTTGGTGTGAATTCCTGGTGATCTGGCTTACATGATGTCAAGTTTCAATGGAATTTCACCACAAAAATGTTGTAAATTAATTTGTAAAATTCAGGGAATGTCGCTTTATGGGGGGGTTGATTGGATTTCGATTGGAGTCATGGAAGGGTGTGGCATGGAACTTTTTAAAAAATGTAAGATGACTTGAATTAAATCTTTATCTGATACAATAATAGCTGCAATAATGATGTGCTTGATCAAAAAGATTCTAACCCAGAATCTAAAAGATTACAACCTTAAACATCTAGCTTAGTAAATTGTCTTTAGATCGAACAAATTAAAATATAACTTCTGTGGATATCTAAATCAGAATAAACCTCAAAACTTCAAAATATCGACAGAACATTTCCAAATTAAAATTTCTTTAATTTCATAAATTTTTAAATATTTCACATCGACCCAATAAAAATCATGAACCCAAATTCTTACACAACAACATCATCATCTCCATTTGATAATTTTATACCATCGACATTCGGCATTCGAATGTAATTGAAAAATCAAATAAAATATAATAATGCAAATAATTCAATTATCGAGTCAAAAAATATAAAAATCGACCCATATATACAAGCTGGAGAGGCAATTGCTAAAAATCGAAGCTATAAATTGTGAGCAAAATATTGTATATTGAAAAGAAGATAACATCTGTGGAAAAAGAATTTTTAGCTTATGGTAAATTTTATTGTTGATAGGAAGCGAGGGCAAAAATTTTAATATTCAATGAGGATTGAAAATATTAAAGCTGCATATTGCCTCGTATTCCCACTTGTTCCTTTTTTTCATATGCCTTTTGAGTTTATGGATTAAGTTATTTGGATTTATTTTTTGTAATTCGTCATCTGTGCATTTACATTTTATTTCAATATTGCTATTCAATTTTGAAGATGAGATTTGTTTTTTTTGGGATTTATTCCTGTGGATTTGGAAATTATAACCTAGTCTGCGTGTTATATCCAGCATAATTCTTAAATTCTTACTGAAAAATTAACATCCAAAACCATATAAGCTTTCACGAATCAAACTTAAGCCTAGTTGAGTGACAAATTGATCGTGTAGACAATGTATCAAGTTTCTCTTCCACAATATCCAATGGTTATTAATGTTTACACTTGATAATAATAAATAAAACCATAACACACCATTTTTAGTTGCCAGGTTTGCTTTTCTTTTATCTATCTTCCCTTTTTTCTCGCTAATGGCGGAACGACATAACATAAATAACGCACATACACACACACAAGGGAGCTTTACAAACATCTGCTCTTGCCATACTTCTTATGCCTCTTTTTGTGTGTATTACCTATTGTCATTAATAAAATGGCAGCGCACGTGTAAGAAGAAGCAACTCCTGCCAAGGTGATTGTTTAACAGCGACGAAAGGAAATTTGAGATTTTTTTTTCCTTTTGTAATTTTCACTTTCATTCGAATGAAGGGAAGGAAAAGTGATAAAAAAGAAGCGAAAAATTTTGAGAGTCTTTATTAAAAACTTTGATTTAGGAGGGAGAATTTTTTTGATGAGGAAATCCTTGTAGGAAATTTTGGGTTGGATTGTTAATTGATTTTTTTTTGAGATTCTTAGGGACTTGGATGTATTGATGGATGGGAATGAAAGTTTGGGGTTCATTTATTTTATCTTTGAAACTATTTGAAATGTTAGAGACCAGCTTAGTTTTTATGAATGGGTCCAAGTCAATTTTGGTCTTTATTAAAGCTACTTTGTCTTTCTGTTGCTGTTTTTGTGGCTCTCTGGTTCACTGGTTTTCTGGTTCTTTGATTATTTAGTTCTCTAGTTATTTGCTTTTATTGTTCTCTGGTTCTCTTGTTCTCTAAAGAATACAGACCCTCATAATTGAGCAATTAAAGAACAGTTACGTGCACTAAGGTCTTTGGCCCTTGGCACCTCCTTTAAAAAATCAACAGAACAATCAAACTTCTGCACAAACTCTCCACAATCTATTCCATTCACGATTCCATAAAAAAATATTATTAATAATAAGAAATTTGAATACTTTGTCAAGCGTCGTAATAAATTTTTTCATGAAAATCAATAAATTCGTCGTTTTAATTCACAGTGAGAAAAAGCCATAAAGTTATGCTCAACAAAAGCAATTCACGAATTTTTAATAAGTATTAAAAAAGATTTTTTCTTGCGAGAAAATTTCTCCTTCAATTATCGACATAATTACTTAGAAATTTTCACCATTATACAGTCAATCATTAAAAAATTTCTGTCAATAAAAAGAAAATAAATTTTTCATCATCACGATGAGAAAAAGCTTGAATTTGAGTCAGTAAAGTGTTTATTTTATTTTTGAGGCATTAAACAGCATGTATTTATATGAAAATGAAAATGATTTTCAACATCAATTTATGCTTTAAATAAATTGCCTTTCGTTACTTTCATCATCCATCGCAATTAATCAATGTTTTTTTTTCATGTGTACATGTGGATGGTGATTGTAAGGGGTGCAGTCAGGAAAAAAGGGGGTCTTGCTATTAAGGGAAAATTTTAAATTGAAAACAGAATATTAACGTGATTAAGAGGGTTCAAGGTAGTCCATACCTTGAAATTGAAATTCAAATTCCACCTTAAAAATTAAAATTTGATTCATCCCATCCCCCTAACCCCACCCCTGCACGATGATGATGCTGAAAAAGTTAATTCTCGTTGCCAAGCACGGCGAAAATTTTCATTCAATATTTTTTTTTTCCAAACATCAAAGCGAATATGTTTCCATATTTCTGATATAAAGGCACGATAAAAAAAAAGTGTTTGTTGGGCGGAGAGGCGTTTGAACACATGTACAATTTGCATATAATATTTGCGTTTTGGTTCTTCACATGAACAAAGGAGGAACATGAGAAGCACAAAAAAAAATGTTTGTGGCTTCATTTTTTGAATTTTAATCTTTCAATTATTTGCATTTACTCTGGTTCATATGATATGGCACAAATATGCTAAAGGGAAATGAGATTTTTTTTTGTCCCTATATGCTCTAACTCATGATGAATGATTTGAATCCTCAATTGCGAAATCGGAAAATTTCCTCATACACATTTGTATTTTTGACACTTAAGATTATGCTGAACATAAACTAATCCATGCATGAATGAATGAATGATTCGAAAATAGTAAGAAGAGAAATTGAAATCTGTCGATTTATTTTGTCATATTCTGTTCCTATTTTTTCTTTCGTTGACGATAATTTCCATGAGCGAACACGTTCAAACATATCGAAAAGAAAGTCGTATGACGAATGTCACACTATATGTCTTTGTATGCTTAAGATATCCATTTCTTCATGCGTTTCTATTAAATCACTTTAAATAATATATAAACAAGCTTCTTTTGCCTTATGTTTTTCGGCGTAATTTATTCAGCACGAATAGTGAATATCAATTGTATCACGTGTTGTAGGTTCATAGCTTATGACACATCGCTATGTATCAATTTTTTAGATGATAATCTTATTCTTATGATTGTTTTGGTGTTGATTAGTATGAAAAATATTCAATTTTGTACAGATAAAGTTCACAACCTTTGAATAATGAAGATGTGAGTTGTTTTAATAATTGCTGTACTTTCGAAGAATTCCGAAGATTCTAGAACGTTTTTGAACGACGCTGCAATTGAAAAAACCCGAACATTTTGACTTCGATTAAGATTTTTAAGTTGAAATCTGTATTCAAATAGATACTTCCATTGAACTGCCTTTAACTAGCTTCAACTAAGATTATCTTCGAAATAAAACTAGCTTCATATAAAACTAGCTTCAACTAGCTCCAATATATATCAATATTCCATCTAAAATCAACATCACATCCCCCACAGGATCTTCAAAGACACAACTTTCCCAATAAACATCCTCCAGATGTTTGCCTTAAAGGAATACGTGTCCAAATGATTTATGCATGAATAACTTTCAATTAATTTCTAATTAGCAACATTTGCTGCCAAAATAAACAACTTCGCCTTAAAAATTATAGAAAGTGCTAACAACTATCAGCATCGCAGATGATGTTTCTTCCGTTCACAGATGCTGCGTTGCTCTACATGAACAATGTT